GCTGCTGTCTCCACAGCGGTGACAGTGACACCCGGCAGCCCAGCTGCCCGGCCTAGACCTCGGCAGGCCCCCCTCCCCGCCCATGTCCCTATGTCCTGCCTAGTCCTGGGAGCATCCGGGTTCCCAAGCCCTGACCCACCACCAGCCGCCATTCCCTTGGGGCAGGTGACCTGCCAAGGCCCGCACTGTTTCTTTATAACTTACTTGATACATGTCATCACTGTATCATTGCAGCTTGTGACATGAGTTTTCCCAGCATGAATACACTGTGTGTGAGTCCAGCTAGGCAGGTGGCCTGGTGGGTGAGGCTCTGGACTCCCACATGGCCGACAGTTCAAGTGCTGGACCTGGCGGTCTGCTTTCTCACTTTCCCTCTCTCTCTGTCTCTCTGGCTAAATTAAAAAATAACAACATAAATAAAATTAAATAAATAATTTTTAAAAATTAAAAAGAAGAAATGATCACACACATTATCAATAGATCATTTTCCATTTTGTGTCCCTTAAATGTTTTGCTTCTTCGTTTTCTGATTCCCTTCCTCTCCCCCTCACCCATTTCCCACTCCCCCCACTCTGCCTCTAGTACCCAGTTGTTCTAGGATAAACACAGAATGTCCCCGCACTGTTCCTAAGGCAGCCCCTCCCCCACCTTCCTCACGGGAAGGACGAGGAGGGGGTTCCTCAGGGAAGCAGCCAGAGCAAGGGACCTTGAAGCAACTCTGGGCCCATCTCCCAAGTGTATAAACCAAGGGTCAGCTCAAATGGTGCCTCCTCCAGGCAGCCGTCCAGGCAACCCTCCTGATGCCCCTCAGGCCACGCTCCTCCTGAGTGCTCCCCGGGGGCTGCAGCCTAAGTCACCCCGACTTGGCCCCAGGATGTGGTTACTTGTTTACTCATGCTCCCTCCTTGTCCTGGGGCTCCTGAAGACAGGCCTGAGCCTTGGGCCCTCTGCTGCAGGACCTGGCCAGACTGCTCCCTGCACTTCCCTGGGCCTGTGGCACGGGGCTCCCTGACTCGCCCCTGGTTCCTGAGTTGCTGGAGCCTGTCGTAGGGGGCAAGCACCCACTTACAGACTGTCCACATCTCCACTTCACGCCTCACCGGCTGCGGAGCCCCATGTCACCTACCTAAGCTCTCTCTCCCACCGTTTGTCATCTGAAGAACAGGTGGCAACAGCCCTGCCTCCAGGGCTGCTGGAGGTTGCACGGGCTGATGCAGCCGAAGGCCTAAAGGGGCCCAAGCTCAGGAAAGCGTCAATCTCCGCTCTACCTGTGGTCTCCTGCTACACCACTGCACCTCTCAGGTGGGCAGGTGAGGTGACCGTACCTAACAGAGAGCGCACCTGGCATCTGGGCCGAGTTGGACCTGCAGGGAGAGCTGCTGTCTCCACAGCGGTGACAGTGACACCCGGCAGCCCAGCTGCCCGGCCTAGACCTCGGCAGCCTCTCACCACTGCTCTCCCCTTGGGGCAGACGCCAAGCACAGCCCACATCTGTTTCCGGACTCTTATCTGGCACTTGCAGTCACAGACTCCATCCTCCGCGGCTGCTTGGGGCTGCCCAGATTGAAACCAAATGTCCCGCGCCCTGGCCTGAGCCCTGTGGCAGTGAGGAAGTGGAGAGTGTGGTACCTGTGGTCTCATCACGTGGAGGAACACTGTGGTCCAGAGACCAGACGGGCCGGAGGGCGGGCATCTCCGAGGTGAAGCGGGCTGGCCAGCATGAGTTGCATGGCAGACGTAGCCCCACCTCAGCCAGAGCTGGCGAGGGCGCTGGCCCCGCGGAAGTGGACAGAGTGTGGTACCTGTGGTCTCGTCACGTGGAGGAACACGGTGGTCCAGAGACCAGACGGGCTGGAGGACGGGGCGGAGGGCGGGCGTCTCCGAGGTGAAGCGGGCTGGCCAGCATGAGTTGCATGGCAGACGTAGCCCCACCTCAGCCAGAGCTGGCGAGGCCGCTGCCCCCGCAGCGAGGGGCAGAGGGAGGCACAGATTCGGCTCACCCGTGTGCCTCGGCACTCACTAGCCAGGTCACACGGACTCTGTGCCTCAGTGTCCCTCACAGGGCTACTATGAGGAGTCACATCCGGCCCGTGGGCAGCACTGGTGCAGAGGAGTGCTCGTCATGGTTTGGGGTAGAAGGGGACATTTCTGACTTGGGGTGATCACTGGCCTCTTGGGTTGGGGACGAGGACGGGGAGGGATAAAAGGGGCTAGGGCTCCCTTCATTCAAAATCCACCCCCAGAGGACAAAGGAAGCCTCACATCAACTCACAAGAGGAGGCACGGCACCCTTCCTCCCCCCGGGGAAGCAGGGTAAGGAAGCTCCCCTCCACACACCCAGCGGCACGGCTCCCAAGGATTCTAGAGTCCTGGCACAGACCTCGTCCACACAACCTCCAGAGCTCACGGGCTCACTATCAGTGTAGACTGAGTGCCAACCGTGTGCTAGGCTCTAGCTGGGGACACACAGGACAGAGACCATCTGTCTCTCTTTCCCACCTCATTTTGATGAGAATAAAAGCTCTGGGATCCCGAACACCTCAGTGCTTCTAAGACCAGAAACCCTGCTCGAAGCCACCTGCACGGGCCTGGGCCACTGACTACGTGGACATGGAAGGCCCTAACCCCGCCACACGGCCCTGGGCTGACTACCACGGAAGAGCAGTGTGGTGGGACTGGGAACTTCATGGGTGAACTACATACAAAGTGACAACTCAGAAGAGCTGGACAGCACTTCAGAAAGGAAACACACAGCCGGACCTGCTTATGACACCCACAAAGCCCACCGTCACCTGCGAGTCACCCTGCCACAGCCAGGGGTCTTGGCTTGGCAGCACGTGCCAACACTGGCAGGCTTCCAGCACACGCCGGGGCCTGTTAGTTCAACACACACACACACACACACACACGCACAGTGCCAGCACCGTCCTGCACTGCTTGCACAGGACCGGCATTATCATCCACATCATAGATGTAGAAACAGGCTCAGGGAGGCCTCCAACCACCTCCCAACAGCCTGTCTTGGGACCAGCAGATGGTATAATGGTTATGTCACTGGACTCCCACATAGGCAATCGTAGTTCAAGTCCTGGACTCAGTGGCTTAAAACTCACACCGGGCACATGTGTGTGCATGCCCAAAATCTCAGAAGGCAAACGGAGGAGGAGGGACTGCATTGCTGCATTGTGGATATCCCCCCCGGGCAGATTCGCCTTCTGTCTCTCTAGTGAGCACATGCACCTTATAGCAAAAATCTCTTTAAAAAAAAAAAAAAAAAAGGGCCCCCAGCCTGTCTCAACCACAGGGCCCTGACGCTCAGTAACAGTTGGTGTGGACAGATCCTGTTTTGGGAGTTCCAAAGGGGATCACGCAGCCAGGCTGGAGCAGATGCTCACAGAGAAGTGGCACTAGCCACATGACTCTACTTCCTTTGACTGTCCACACAGACGTACAGCAGTTTTCAAACTGTATGCTTTAGCCACTGAGGATCACGAAGTCGATTCAGCTGCCCAGAAGCAGTGCTGGTTTTAAACAAAGGAAGAGGACAGAGGACATTAGCTTGCAGCACACAGTGAGGACAAGCATGGCTGTGGAAACTTCCATTCTCACCAAGCGTGCATGAAGGTACGTGTGTGCACGTGGCAGCCTGTGAAGGACCATGCATTTCTCGCCCTGGGTCAAGGAGAGAGTGTGTAAGAGGCACTTCAGGGCTGGGTAGGATTTCAACAGGTGGAGCTGGGGATGGCACATTTTGGGCAGAGGTTCCTGCATGGGCAAAAGGGGAGCTGGGAAGACACGGAGGCGGATCTGCCACGTGGAATGGCTCAGCATGCAGGGCAGGAGTGGATGGTGACCCACAAGAGAAATACGGGGCTTTTAACAAAGGCCCAGAAGCTCCTGGACCCGGTGCTGACAGCAGGGCCTCAGAGCAGGAACAGCCTCCATTCCAGGCGTGTGTGAGCTCGGGTTGCCCCATCTGTAAATGAGGCTGCCGGTCAACTCATTCTTTGCAGAGCTTGTTGTGATAAAGCACTGGATAAATTACTGGAGAGAATAACGGGGATCCTGGCTGAGTGCTCCTTAGCTGAAGTGTGTGGGACCGGAAGTGCTCTGTATTTGGATTTTGGAACATATGCCTATACATGACATACATTGGGATAGGATCCATGTCAGACATGGAATTCATTTATATTTCATATATACTTTTACACATTAAGATAACTGCTATGCTGGGGCCAGCTGCTGGCATGGTGGTTAAGGCCCTGGACTCCCATGTGGCCAACCGCACACTGACCATGGTTTGAGTCCTGGGTCTGGTGATTTGAAAATTACACCAGGCATGTGTGTGTGCATGCCCCAAATCCCACGGGGAGAATGGAGAAGAAGGGACTGCAACATGGCCATTGCCCCTGAGGTATGCTTTCTTGCTTTCCCTTTCTCTTTCTCGCTCTCCAGTGAGCACATGTGCTCTCTAGCAAAAATAAATAAGTAAATAAATACTGCTATGATTTAAATGTTCCCAGCAAAATTTGTGGTAAAATTTAATCCCTTTTGTAATGTATTAAGAGGGTGAAAACTTATTCTAACCATGGCATTAAGAGGTGGGGCGTTTGGAAAGTAATGAGACAAAGTCTTTACGACGAGGGTATCAGCATGGCTATGGTGACTGGGGACAGCATGGGTTTCCCAGTACACCATGGTATTTGAGGGGACCGTCCCCCACCCCACAGTGCCCATCAGCTCCCTAGCATGAGCAGGTAAGGTCTGGAACCGCCTGCTTACTAACGACATAAAACAATGAGGTCTCTGCTGTAGCTCCAGTCTCAGAGCAGAGGAGCAGAGTCCACTTGTCCACAGTGGGAGCTGCAGGGCCCTGAATTGCAGGGCAGTCCAGGAGGAGGAACCTTTCAGCAGTTGCTAGACCACGGCCCCCCTTATTTTCACTGAACGGCCCTAGCCTGGGCTAAGAACAGCTGGGCTTTCAGGTAATGACCCCTTACCGGTTCTGTCTGCCCTTTCTCGGCTCCTGGCACGCTGGGCGTGGGGCTCAGTTGCAGCGGGTGCCTCTCCAACACCTGGGCCAGGTCCTGGGCCTGGGCGAGGTCCAGAAGCTTGGAGTGGCTCGGTCTTGTCCTGTTCCATCGAGGTAGTGGCATTGAGCCGAGCCCGGGGCTGTGGTGCTGGCAGGGGCTGCAAACTAGACGAGCCTGGAGGGGGGGTGCTGGGGTCCATCTCACCTGCAAGAAAAGCTGTGGGTCAGAATCACACTCAGGTCGGCCAGGCCAGCCTGCCCCAGCATTTGGCGTCTGCTAGAGAGAGAGAAGCAAAGGCAGACGGGATGGGAGTGGCCAGGCTCTGCATGTGTCCCCTGAACCTCAGCCAGCCCCACAGGCCAGCACCCATAGTCCAGCCCCGCTTCAGACGAGCACGTCGCCGAGGACACTCACCAGACTGCACAGCGGTTACGATCCCAGGCCCTGATGCTGCGAGGCCTTGCATCCCTGCCTCACCGCCATGCGCCACACAACCTTGGGCTTTGGCTGCTTGTCTGGGAAATGGGGATGACGAGGATGACACTCAGTGATAATCTGATATGGAGCACTGGGCAGAGTGCCTGGCTGTGGGGGCCCCCAAGTGATACATCCCCCAGTATCTGTGAAAGTGACATCGTTTGAGAAAACCGGTCTTTGCAAATGTAATTAAGTTAAGGATCTTGAACTGAGATGATCCTGGATTAAGGTAGGCCCTAAACCCAATGGCTGATGTCCTTGTAAGGAAAGGAGAAAAACAGAGCTGCAAGAAGGAGGCTGTGGGAAGACGGAGCAGAGTGGCGTGATGCGGCAGCAAGCCAAGGGCACCAAGATCACTGGTGACACCAGAAGCCAGGAGAGAGGCAGGGACCCAGTCCTCTTGCAGGTCCTCCAGAAGGGGCCACCGCCCACATCCTGATTTCAGACTCTGCCTGCAGAACCGTGAGAGGGTGAAGTCCTGTTATTGTGAAGCCACTGCATTCTGGTCATTTCTTCTGGGAGCCTCAGGAGACCAATATGCTGGCACTGAGTCAGAGTTACACACGCGTAGAAGGTAAGGGTCAGAGTAGGGAGGAGAGGGGAGGAAAATGCAGCTGGCGGAGTCAGGGTGTGAAACCAGACCTGCCCAGCTGCAGAGCCCAGCACGAGAGGCCCACAGCACAGGACGAACACCGCAGAGCTCCAGTGCCGATTAGCCGTGTAGGGGGTGTGGGCATGGTGATTAAGGCACTAGACACTCCCACATGGCCGACCATGGCTTGAGTCCTGGACCTGGTGGCTTGCTTTCTCACTTTCCCCCTCTCTCTTTCTCTGTCTCTGTCTCTCTCTCTCTCTGGTCAAATTTAAAAAGAAATGAATGAATAAAATTAAACAAATATTAAAAAAAAAAAAAGAAGAAGAAGGCAAGCCAGTGCCTGGGACCAACAGATGGCGTAATAATGGTTATGTCGCTGGACTCCCACATAGTCAACTGTGGTTCAAGTTCCAGACCTGGCAGCTTGAAACTCATATCAGGCACATGTATGTGCGTGCCCGAAATCTCAAGAAGAGAATGAAAGGGAGGGACTGCAGCATGGCTATCCCCTCTGGGCGGTGATTTCTCGCTTTCTGCCTCTGTCTCTTTGGCTAACAAACATGCCCTATTGTAAACATCTCTCTCAAGGAGAAACAAAGGGCAAGCCAGTGCCAACAGTGTGTTGTAGAACAGACTAGAGCAGACCAGAGGCCACAGGCCGGGACACGCGTTAAGACCAGGGGAAAGGGCTGGGTTGTTCTAAGGGGCCTCCCATGCTGCTCAGCACCATGGACAAGCACCATCAACAGGAAGGGCAACCGGAGCCACACGCCACGGAGCTGAGGTTCTGGAGGCCCCTACACTGAGTGCCTGATGCTGGGGCCCTGGATGGGCTTCGGGGGTGGGGGTGGGGCACAAGTGCTGAAACCGCTGGCCGTGGGCACATTGCGTGGGATGCAGGAAGCTTTTCCTCAGATCAAACCCAAGGTCACATCTACCCTCTTGATCAGGGAGAAGATGGAAACCAGGAACTCTGGCTCCCAGTCCTAATCTGCTGCGGCCTGCCTGTGGCTCTCTGCCCACCAGTCATGTGGTTCTGGGCAGGCCACGTCCCTCTCTGTACCCCAGATTCCTCATCTGTAAATGGGGACCCCATCATGCCACCCTCAGGGCGACTGCCGAGAACCAGAGAGATCAGAGATTGTGAGCCACAGTGTGGGGCATCTCTTGGTCAGCTCCTAGTGTAAGTTTCTGGAACTCTCATCATAGGAAGACTTCAGAGTGGGCCCTGGCCCCACAGGTTAGTCCCCAGGGGCTACAGACTGTATCTGCTCCATCCTCAGCTACAAACGGGTCCTGACGATTAGATCTATTTCCACAGAAGGACTCTAGATTTCAATCTGGACATTCCTCCCTTAGAGAGAATGAGCTCTTCCTTTAAAACATCCCCCCAGGAGAAACCAAAACGAAAAGCATGGTCAAGCCTTGTGCATCTGCCTGGAAATCAGCACAATGCCCATGCTGTTTCCGAACTCCAGGCTCCCGGGACTCGGGTCACTTACTGAATGTGCAGACCTCAGTGAGCACACGGTCAGCCGTGGGCAGGGAAACTAAGCCGGGGGACTTGGCACAGAGCACCACGGTCGTGCCAGCTACCAGACGGTCCTTTAAACGACATGCAGCCATGGTTTACCTCGCCTCTCTTGTGGCCCCTGCTGTCCCCAGAATCAGGTGCCACTTGCTTAGAATGGCAGAGGCAGACTCGCCTTCACTGAGTCGACGGACGCCACGGCACGTGCGTCATCACTAACAGCGGCTCTGCCTCTCGGTACTTCCTGTACCTCTTCTCAGGGGTTCCTACCCAGCCCTAGAAGGTGGGCGCTATTACTATCCTGGTGTTACAAACGGAGAAGCTTTTATTCCTCACCTCTCACCCCGCTTTGCGGAGGAGGACACTCAGGTGTGAGAAGGCGTGGGACCTGCTCAAGGCCAGACCCCTCTCTGGTGCAGGTGCTGAAACTCGAATTCACGGCTGATTGCAAAGCCTCTGCAAGCTCATTTCTGAAAAAAAACAGCCCTTTCAAAATCTGGCCCCACCTCCAGACCCATTCACTCCAACACACTGGCTGCTCTAGAACGCCAACATGCAGTTGCTGACATCCGCGTGTTCGCTCTTTCTGGAAGGCCCTCCACTTCCCGCCCCAGTCCAAATACTAGCTAGCCTTCAAGTCAAGCGTTCAAGCAGCTCCTCTGTGGGGCGTTCCAAGCTGCCTCCGCCCCAATTCTCTGTCTTCCTCACCTGCTCTCAGGTACACACACAGCAGCAGGTTATCGCTCCATCTGCGAGCTCACCTGGGTTAGAGGTACGCAAGGGCAGCACTGTCTGGGCCAGTGGGACACAGGTCTCAGCCGGGAACAAGTGAGGCTGGCTCACCCTTCCTGAGCAGCTAGCTAACCTACTGTGTCTGTCCCCCATCCGCAAAGTGGGAGGAACACCTTCTATGTCAGCGTGCTGTGGGGATTAGGGAGGTGAGAAAAGAAAGCCATCTGCAAACTGTAAAACATTAATTAAAAAAAAATAAAAAAGCCATTATTCTCAGGCTAAATAAAAGCATGCTCAGTTGAAAAACACCTTATAAAAGGAATGTCAGGAAAACACACATTCTGATTGGCCTGTGGGCTGAGTATTATGCATGTTACATTACAGTCAAAATAAACTGTTTAATGTAAAAATCTTGGGACCAGCAGTTAGTGTAATGGCTATGTTGTTAGACTCCCATGAAGTCGACTGCGGTTTGCGTCCCGGACCCAATGGCTTAAAACTCAAACTGGGTGCATGTGCATGCATGCCCAAGATCCAGAGAGGAGAACAGAGAAGGGATTGTGGCGTGGCCATCCCCTGGGGGGTGATTTCTCGCTTTCTCTCTCTCTGTCTCTCTCTGTATGACGAGCGCACGCACCCTATAGCAAAAACCTCTCAAAAAAAAAAAAAAGTGTAAAGTAAAACTCTCTGGTGACCGAGTACAGGGAAACTGATTTTCAGGTTACCTAAGGGTTGGCCACCAAGCCTGGTCTGGATCAAAGGACTTGTTATTTCAAAACTAAACAGTTCCGGGCCACAGCTGGTTGCCGGCACAGCAAAGGTGAGGAAAGACCTGCCCGTGTCTGGTCCTTCCCTCTCTGACCAGTCTTTTTCCTGGGATGCTGTGGACACTGCAGTAGAAGCTGCGACTTATTCACCCGGGACACTTCTGCCTGGCTGGGCACCCATTAGGGGCTCGGTGGATGTGGGGCAGAAGCCTGGAGCCCTGGGGAAGGAGCAGCATCCAGGGATGACAGTGCCGTGTGACGTGCAGCACACAGCCAAGAGCCCCGCACGTCCCAGCATCCAGGGCGGCCTCCATACTGTGCCCCCATGAAGAGGGTAGTCAACCCCAACTGTCCCCTCAAGGCCAGAGTGGTGCTTGGAAGCTGTCTCTGTGTAAGATCCCAAACCTGGAGTGGCTGGCATTCTTCCCCCATGCGCACAGAGGCATATTTTAATCCCATCCACACACAGATGGGATAAAGAACCGAGGAACTCAGCGGAGGGGCTGCTACTCCCAGAGGCTGCACCAACCACGCGTCCACAGAGACGTGGGACTTGATGACTGCATGCAGCTCTCGGCTACAAATGTTCTAACTCCGGCCCAGGCAGGCCTCCCTTCTGCTCTTGTAGGGGGGCAGCCCACCCTCAAGCCTGCTCCCTAGAAACAGCTCCCAGGGAAAGCCGAGATGTTCACACACTCTCCGACCAGCACCTCCACCTCCAGGATCCCAGCTCTGGGAACCCTAGAGACACTGCTTAGCGGCCATCAGAGTGGCATTCTTCAGCAACGCCTGGAGAGGGATCGGTTATAAATGCACAGCCCTGCCATACGGTGCACCCACAGGGCTGTAACAGGTGATCTTGTGTAGGAATGCTTAAAGACAAAAAAATATTCGTATGATACTGTTAGGCAGGATTTAAAGCAGCATAAAATATTATCTTGAGATTGTTAAGGATGAAAACAAAATTAATCTTCAGAAAAAAGATGAAAGAAAATGCCTCCTGAAATGTTAACGCTTGCAAGACCAGCAGATGGCATAATGGTTGCTTCGTTGGACGCCCATATAATCAACCATGGTTCGAGTCCCAGATCCAGCAGCTTAAAACTCACGCCAGGCGCCAGTGTATGCATGCCCAAAATCCTGAGAGGAGGATGGTGAGAAGGGATTGCAGCATGGCCATCCCCACTGGGGGTGATTTCTCAGTTTCTGCCTCTCTGTCTCTCTCTGTTAAGTCACACACCCTATAGCAAAAATCTCTCTTAAAAAAAAAAAAAGTTAACACTTGTTATCTCCAAGTAAAGGCTACAGGTTTTATTTTATTCTTCTAAGCAATGTTACTTCCCTGATTTTCTATTATGAGTGTGTGATGCGTGGGGACCTGAAGCACAATGTTATCTAAAGACCTATCTGTGACAGTGCCCTAAGCGGCCCCCAGCCGGAGAAATCTGCTCAGTCTGGCCCGGCCTCTACCCCTGGCACCGGGCTGCTCCTCAAGACAAGGGCACAAAGCCCTTGGTGGCTCACAGGTTCCTATTTTTGCTCAGAGTATTAGGGCCAAATTAAAGGACATTCCATCTCCACCCAGAGGGGCAAGTTCACAGGAACACAGGGAGAGCTGAGCCAGGAATGC